TGTAGAGGTGTGTGTCAAAAAGTAGTCGTGGAACACAAAATTTAAAATCCATAAAGTTTGTTTGGAACGAGTTTAAGAGTAAATTTTTATTACAACGATTTTTATTACAACGTCACCCATATTAATAAGAAAATAAGCATTTTCAGTTTCTTAACACGGAGAGTTTTTACGATTCACTATTATAATTACAATAGACATCGGATCAAATTGTTAAATTTCATTTCTGACTTTTAGTTTAAGAAGTAAAAGAGATTGGTCACTTATGCTAAGACACTTTGTTGGTGTATACTCTACTGCTTTATTATTAAATTTCTAAGTACGAAATTAATGAAACGTGAAGAATCTTGTGTACTTTTAGAGTCATCCGTAAAATCCACAAGTGTCTCGTAAAAATAGGCAGCTGTACGGTGTGCAATTTTTGCAACTTAAACTTCTCTTTGCACAAACACAATTCACACAGCTAACGCAGGCATTACCTGAGCATGGGATTCTCTGTTGCACCATTTTTGTGAAAACATTCTTTCTCTTAATTATGACAAGAGAGTACTTTGGATGATTGTAGAATACATTTATTGTGATTTTTGTTACCCAAGTATTTCATAGACATACAATTGCAATTGAATATATTTTTTTGAAAAGTGTAATTTATCAGAATATATTGAAATAATCTCAGAATTTACTACAGTTGAACAATTTGCAATAGTATATTGCAATGTCAAACGGTAATCTTATACTGGCTGAAATCACTGTATTTTCTCTTAAGTAGTCATTGATATTACACAAACAGATTTGATAACTGTTGACACACTGACCTGCAAGTTGATCGTTTTGACTGTGGTTCTTTATTTCAATGAAATTCAACAGTATATTGCAATGTCAAACGGTAATCTTATACTGGCTGAAATCACTGTATTTCTTCTTAAGTAGTCATTGATATTACATAAGCAGATTTGATAACTGTTGACACACTGACCTGCAAGTTGATCGTTTTGACTGTGGTTCTTTATTTCACTGAAATGCTCACTTTATACACCGCTTCGTAAAGTCAGGCGGGAAATGATACACGGAGAACAGAAGTGATAGACTTTATACTGACGCGATTCATTCTTTTATACTCTTGCAAGGAACTATGAATTACAGGTCTATGATAAGCTTTGATTAGTATTGCACACGATCATCACGAGCACGACATCTAACGATTTGCTTGGTCACTGTACGGTCGGACTTCCTGATTCATTCTAAGCTTGGTAAATTTCATTCTGCAACACTGAACTCCCGCGTCACTCGCGTCCCGACTTGTCCTTCAATAAAATTATGAACGCGTTGTTTTTCAATTGTCAATTAATTACGAAAATAATAGTGTGATTAAAAGATAGCGCTCGTGCCTTTATCGTCTACATGTGATTGTAAAACTGCACGTGTACTTGTAAATGCTAATATAAGAGAGAAGATAGTCTATTAAGGGGATAAAAAATATAAATCGATATCTATTGCATATTGCGTTTAAAATTCCAAAAATTGCCGTGACCCGTTAAATTTGGAGGATGTAAAATTCCCGAAATTAATTCATGCATTATTCGTCGTCATCCATAACACCATCATACTAAGCTTGCATAATTTTTCTGAACGACGAGAATATAGTGGAATTATTCACGAAGGTCGTCTATCACATGCGTTATCTTGGGATATGAAATTCATATGTGATATTCAACAGAAAAAATCTTGGCGGATTTTACTCTCCGTCGCCTGAGTCAATATACCTTTTGTTTTTATCGTTGAAAGACTCGTTTTGTCAATGGGCAATTAGTGCTGACTGTTTAATGCGAAATGTTAATGTTTAACGCATCAAATATTTATTTAGGCAGCCTTATAGAGTTTTATAGAAACGTGCATATCTGTAATATTTGTCAATATATGTGCAACATTTGTCTATATATTGTGTACATGGATATCTAAAATTTTATGAACAATGACATATTTGTTACACACTGTTGCAGATTATAACATTATTTTGTTCAAATGACACGCTCATATTAAAATTTTGTTTTTTTTTTTCGTTTATTAGTAATTTTAAGTAATTATTATCATACTTAAAAATTTTGAATTAAAAAAAAAAATATTAAAATTTAAAAAAAGAACAGTTTCTGCGAAAATGTCAACATAGCAACTTTATGATATGCTATAAAGCTAATTTAATGTGGAATTGGAATTGCATATAAAAAGATATTAAATACACAAACTGCCTCGCAAAAATTATTTTATCCGAAACATACATTATTAAGAGACGTTTTATATAAATTTATTAAGTTATTAAGAGTTATTAAGAGATGTTTTATATAAATTTATATAATATAACTTTATATAAATATAATATATAAACATAATATAAGTAAAAATAAATTTTGTAAAGAAAAAGATCACTTTTATTACATGCAATCTGTATAATATTTTTAAGTGAGGTGAACTTTTCTCGTCTCAATGGCAGCAATTAATGTATTCCATGCTTTAATAACAACAATAATAGAAAGTACAGGCAAAATTTACAAAAGACATTTTTTACTGTAAAATTATATCTATATTTTGTCTCAAAAATATGTTTCTCGACTTAATTTGACTTACCGAGATAATTGAATTTAATTCACCGCTCGTTACACGTATCGTCACTCGTTGTATCTATCACTCTAAAAAAGAAAAAAAATGACACGATACATAAAGTTGATTAATTATCTGCACGCGAATGACAAATAAGAAAGTGTAATCAGCATTTAGTAATATCTTCACGCAATCTCAAGAATTTTTACGTAACAAATGGTACTTTGTCCCTAACAATTTGTACAAGTTGGTTTCTTGTTCACAAAGCAATAGGCACGATCACAAAGTCGCACAATGAATGTTGCGAAATAATGTATTTGCGCAAGTCATTCTCACTTAATAATAATTATTATCTTGGTTGCATAACTATGTGTAATTATTTGTTTCTTACTATGATATTCAATACGCTTCGAAGCGTGTGACGTCTACGTTGATACTCAATATGATACCGAAGTGATATCTTATCTTTATGGATATCTTATCTTTACACGATAATCAACTAATATCAACGAATATCTTCAACTAATATTCAATCAAATAATATCACTGACAAGATATTCATTCTACATTTATATCTTCTTCATTCTTTTTATTTGAAATGTATGACAAGAATATGTAGAGAAGAAGTTATCCGTATAAAAAATGAGATACATTTAGACTTCACGACATTCATGATAAACTAAAATAAAATTTTACAATTTAAACAATTGTTTTTACATTATTTGAGTTTAAAAAAATTAATTTAGGGAATAACATAATTCGAAAATTATATAAAAAATTATTTCAATATTACGTTGAAAGCAAATTGTGACAGAAAATTTGATTATGAAAATTTGTTGATGCACTTTATTAAATATTTTTATATTCCAATGTTATTACATCTATAGCGCTTATAAATAAGTTATTTCGACATTCATCATCATCCGTCAATTTGTTGGATTAAAAATTTGATAATCTGATAAACACCATGACACTTGATATTACACATCAATTAAATAAATTGTTGTTTTATTATCTTTTTTATTATCTATTGCATAATTATTCAGTCTACAAAAAGATGTTTAATTTTTAAAAATTTATAATTACAAATAAAATCATAAAAAATAAAAACATCATAAAAATAAAAAAGAATTATATAGTAATCTTATTAAGCATTGAGAATTTTTTTTTCTTGATAATATCGTGTAAGAGATGAATAGATAGGTTTAATTTTTGTTTAAAGTTAGTTCCATTGCACAAGGATGCGCATATTTAGAATTTTATTTGTTTTTGAGGTGTCGCATGGAAAGATAGAGTGAAAATTCCGAGTAATTGTAACGGTCGACAAGAAAAGATGCTCCTATAGTAACTACTAAAATATATTATTCTGATACAATTTATATACTCTAACTCGACAATTATTACACTGTCATATTTTTTCTATATGTGGAATGTTTCAAAATATTTATTATCGTATGCCATCCAAAATATGAAACGGACGCGATGATGCTCAATGATGTAGAAGTGTTATGTATGAATGTAATATTTTATTACGTATATAATTCCTATTGTGAAGAATATATTCTATAAATATGTGTAAGTAGTTTTTAAAATTATTAGTTTTATAAGCATCCATGATAAAATGCGAAATTCTCGGGTGCATCCGTAAGTCGATCGATGAATTTTTAACGGTTTAATTAATTTCTAGGGAAAGCCGATAAGTATCGCTATTCGATTGAATTGTTAACGGCCACGTGACTAAAATTACGTACTCGTGTGCAATTCTGAAGTATCGGTGCGCTCTATTCACAGTCCGTGCCATTTATTTATATGAGCCGATTAAACGGAACGGGCCGCATTCGCCAATAGTTTTCAATTACATTATTCAGCGATCACTCGCATTGCGCGGAACACATCTGCCAGCGTAGCTGTCCAAAATTCTAATTGTCTGCAATATTGTACGCGCGTTCATAGGAAATGTGCAAGCGACATAGGAAAATGATAGGAATTTCAGGCGTGAACTAGAAACTGCGACGTGCAGCTGTAGTTACCAAGCATTTTCATTACTGTCTAGTTTCAAGTTTGAAGCAGTGTTTAACTGCGAGTTTTATTTTGAATTGATGCAAATTAATGGAAATTTTTAACCCGATGATTGCATCAATTGAGAATTGATTTATAATACTAACAATAAGCTTACGTCATATTTTTGCAAACTTGAAAGTATTGCTTTTGAGTGCTATTTAATCAAAATCGTAAACATTAATAATAAACATGATACAAGTGCATCAAGACAAAATGTTATTAATATGCACTAGAAACTGCTCACGTTAATAACTCAGGTATCACCTAATGACGCTTTAAGTTTTCGAATCATTCTGCAAAAATTTATCATAAAGAGATAACGAGTATTACTGAATGACATTTCTCATTCAGCACACGTGCTTGATTACTGCAATCTATCAATGACAAGGTGATAATACTAACGCATGCCAAGGGGAAATGAATTGACTCAGTCACATAGTGAAGGGCAAATTTATTAAACGTACAAGATAGTCTTGCAGACACGTGTTCTATATATTTTTGGATAGTAGTTAAATTGCGACAGCAATTAGTGGTATTTATACCAATTTTCTCTCTAACAAGCTCAGCCGATACAAGAAGATTAATTTACGCGCTTACGAGTTGTATAATAATAAATGTGACAAGCTACAATGTTGCAACACCTGTTTCCACGTAGTAATTGGTGGCAGTTATGCAACACAAAATCAATTCCAAAATACGACTTGAACGTTATTTTACAAATATATCATGAATTTATGCTGCGTTTTATTAAGCGCGAAATATAGATTCTATTGCACATGCGATAGATTTATTTTTAACGTTTTAGCAATCGCTCAAGACATCGAAGGCTCAATCAAAGATAATAAATTGTATTGTCACTTTGATTACAAAATTGACATATCTAAGAATAGATCAGAAAAAGGTTTCTAATTCAATGGAAACTGTATGATTGAGCATTTACGAAAGAGAATTTGTGTAATGTAAGCAAGTGCGTGATGAAAAATACTCATTTTACTTAATTCATTTAATGAAATAATTTATCGCGTGTTTGCGTTTGCGCGCGCAAGATATATTTTATCGTGAAAAATAATTACTTGATAATACCTAAAATTGAGATATCGCAACAACATGATACGATTATGATATAGTAAAAAAATGCGATATTGCTGATCGGGTCGAACGATGTCGGTGACCGCTTTATTGGTTTTACGGACGTGCTCCAAATTGCTGCATTAACTCATCCAAGAGAAATGTCGCAATTTGTACGTGCGCATTTTGATATGCTTCCCTATAAATTAACGAGTTTACGCGCGATGAAAAATTATGTTGCTGTGTTTACGTGTGAATTTACAATCGTCCGTTGTTATCGCAGCCCTGCACACGTTCACCTAATGACGCTTTAAGTCTTCAAATCATTTTGCAAATTATTGTGCAAAAATTTATCATGAAAATTAATTGTTATATGTTGTGTGCAGAACGGCCATTGAATGATAATGACACGAATATAATCCTATACACATGTTTATGGAAGTAAGAATAATTAGAATGGATATTATCTTTCCAAAATTTTAATTAAAGATTTATTTATGTAATG